GGCTGGGGATTCGAACCCGCCACCTTAGGTGTACGTGGCTGGCGCCTTAGCCGCTTGAGCTATGGGCGCCGAGCCAAAGGAGAAAAATCTTAAAAATACAGTCTTGTGTATTAAAACAAAAATGTATTTGAAAATCAAAAACAGAACAGAACTGCAAAGTGATAGGGGGGTTAAGCCACTGGCACTCAGGGTTCCAGAAGAGGAAGAGACACTCAGGAGTGCAGCTTATGCGCAAATGGGAAAGGAGAGCACCTCCGGGAAGCAGAGGCTGGTGTGGGACCCACGCTCTAGGAAAGGAAGCTACAGAAGTTACCACTGACTGCTGACTTAGGACATGGCTTATATAAATTGATAGTGAGGCAGAAAAGCACAGGTTTAACCACCTGACAGTGACCAAAGCCAAGCTCAGTAAATGCATCTGCAATAATCTGAAAATCTCTATAGGACTGAAGCACATACTGCCAATCTTAAACTTGGATTTGAATGGTATTCCTGGGTTAGGGGAAAGAAATTGCAAATTGCTAACTGGCAAGTGAAGAGAGGTAGAGTTATAGAAAGAAGAACCTTCTACTTAAGATGAATATGCAGAACCAGTAAATAAATTTCAAAACAAACTGCAGATAGCTGAACTTTAAGAAGACATTAAAGTAAGTTATTTTTGGTACACAATGAGATAAAATAATATCCATAAAAAGCAATAAGCACTCATGAAACCAAAACATACAGAAATGAAAGAAAGTCATCAATATACAATTTGAAATATAAAAATTAACAAGTGCAGTTTCTGGAATAAGCACTCAAAGTTTTACTATCCTCAATAAAAAGGCTTACTTAATTACAAGATGGATTTGAGGAAGTCATTGAGAATGCAACAGAAAGACACAAAGAAAAAAATTACATAGCCCCCAAATAAATCAACAAGAGTTAGAGAAGGGAAGAAATGGTGAAGAAGTGATATTCAGAGACAAATGATTACAGTTTTCCGAAAAATAAGAATGTATCTTAAGTGTCAAGCTGGCTAATCAAAATAAATCAAAATAAAATAGAAACATGGTTCTGAAATGGAGAATATCACAAATAAAAATCTCAAAAGCTACAAAAAAAAAGATAGTTAACCTTAAAGCAACAAAAGTAAAGCTGACAACAGATATCTTCTCAACAAGAGATGACAGATAGGCTCGGTGCCTGTGGCTCAAGCGGCTAAGGTGCCAGCCACATACACCTAAGGTGGCGGGTTCGAATCCCCAGCCCGGGCCTGCCAAACAACAATGATGGCTGCAACCAAAAAATGGCCAGGCGTTGTGGCGGGCGCCTGTAGTCCCAGCTACTTGGGAGGCGGAGGCAGGAAACTTGCTTGAGCCCAGGAGTTGGAGGTTGCTATGAGCGTGATGCCATGGCACTCTACCCAGGGGGACAGCTTGAGGCTCTGTCTCAAAAAAAAAAAAAGAGAGATGACAGATATTAAAAGAGTCTAATAGACAATCCAGCTAAAAGTGGGGACAAAGTAAGGACATGTGCAAATAAAAGGCTGACGGAGTTTATGACCACAGCCCCTCACTGAATAAACTACTAAAGAATGTACTTTGGCAAAAATATAAATGAGTTTTAAGGAAGGAGAAATTTAAAAAAAAGTATTGGTAAATTTAAATAGTTCTTAACTTAAAAAAAGTTTTTGTGCTTTAAGGAAGATGATGGGATAGGAGATATTCAGCTGGATAACACATTGGCAAGCTCTTTATCTTATTCAAGAGGAAACAACAGCAAGTGACTTTAGACTTTTAGGAACAAATGATAATTATATACAGTAAAATAGCTAAGTACACACCTACTATCACCATTATTATAGGGCATATTGAAGATTATAATGTATTGTAAAAAACCCTAGTATAATTATTGAAAAAAAATTGTAGCTATCCTTACTTGTTAATGGGGTGTGATGGTATAAATAAAAAAATGAAAACACTAGTAGGAAAAGTACTTCTAAAATTAATAAAAGAAGTTAGTGATGTAGCTGAATAAGATGAATATACAGAACTCTAGGTTTCTTTTTTATGAGAAGTGTTTGGAAATATAAGTAGAGGAAAATACTCTGTTCACAATGGAAATAAAAACCATAACATAAATAGCAATCAATAAAGAATATGCCTTGCAAAAAGACAAATACGTCACAGAAAGCAATAAAACATCTGAATAAACAGAAAGAAGTCTGAAGGTACTTATAGGAAGACAATGTCATAAAAATGCCATTCTTCCCAAAATTCCTGTATATCATATAATGTAAATCCAATGGGAACCCTTCAGAAATAGATCTAAGTCAGGTCCAAAACCCAATTTATATAATAATCAGTGATGGTAAAACTTGCTAAACAATATCATATAACAAACAAGAAAAACAAACAAGAAAAAAAACAAACTCAGATGGATTAAACACAAGGAAAGAGAAAGAAACAAAACAAAACAAAATAAAAAGCTCTAAGGAAAACCAAATCAGACCTTAGAAAACCTTAAAATATTGATATAATCAATACATTTGACAGATTTCTCTTTTTTCCTTACCAGAGCTACTTAGACCCGACATTTGATAGATTTTTGGAAAAAAAATTTACAAAGCAGATTGATTATTTATAAATGATAAGTATTTACTATAGTCTGAGAGCATCTATATGTTGACTAAACAAAATAAAAAGATAAGATACAAGACAAAGGATCAAAGAATTTGTATTGCCAATTCAGAGAAGAGCAATTCCAAATAACTAGAAAACAAAATAAAAGATGCTCAGATTGAATAGTAGTCAGAGAAATGCAAATTACAGCAATTATAAGACATCTTTTTATAGCCACCAGACTGGACT